TTTTTTTTAAAGATTTTATTTATTTATTTGAGAGAGAGAAAGAGCACAAGAGGGGGGAGCGGGAGAGGGAGAAGCAGACCCCCTGCCGAGCAGGGAGCCCGATGCGGGACTCAATCCCGGGACTCCAGGATCACGACCTGAGCCGAAGGCAGTCGCTTAACCAACTGAGCCACCCAGGTGCCCCATGACAGCAATGATTTTAAAATCAGATTTCTTGACCCCAGATACAATGGTATGCTAACACTGCACCAGTAAAGATTTTATTTTGCCCATTTCCTCCCCTTAATAATTCATACACCTTGAATTTGCTAAGATTCCTTGCAGCCATAAAAGTCCCCTCCACTCTTTAAATCTAGAGCTCTTATTTGATGAAGGATATACAAAAACATACTTCCCTCAGTCACATTCTAGTCATTTCTGATAGCCATTCCTGGCTCAAAACACTTCTTTACTCCCTGCCACCTAGGTTGGGTTGCAAGGATACATCTGGGGTCAGTAGACATGTCCTGGGTAAAAAGACCACACCTTACTACTATAACTCTGAGTTTAAAAAAGAAAAATAGACACACAAAGCACACAGCTGGTAGGAAAGAAGAAGAAATGAAGATGAAAGCTTCCTAGAGGAGGGAATCCCTTAACTGAGTCTTAAAGAATGAGTGTGGAGAGAAGCAGCCAAGATCACAGGAAGGGTCATCCTGGCAAAGAACACCAGTTCAACAGTCACAGGTTCGTGGAACCTTAAAGTCAGAGGATTCTCTTAAAGTCATAAGTTGCCCATCTATAAAGTCTCCAGGAATTGGTTATATCATTCATCTCTGCCCATGCAACCCCAGTGGGAATGAATCCATTATCACCCAAGGAAGCCTGCCGGAATAGAAATAAGGCAGGTCTGAAGGTTAGGCTTGCTAGCAGGATGGTACACCTGAGGAGGTGGGCTTAGCTTCACCCAGCAATCAACATGGGTGTTGTTACCAGTTACTTGTACCTGATACCAGTTACTTGTACCTGATGGAAGGACCAGCACACAGCCAGAGTCTCTAGAATATGGGACTGGCTTCTTGAAGGACCTGACAGGATCCTCACCCTTATTGGTCAGGTTCATTGTCTAATGGGCACCTTTGTGGGAAAGCCAGGAAAGCTTGTTTGTCCTTCCAACCAGGAGGATCTTTGTGTTCCCAGCTCTGAAACACCTTCAAAATTCTAAGGAAAAGTGAGCCTCAACCTGTAATTCCAAAATTCAACCCAACAGTCAAACGGAAAGGTAAAACAAAGATAAAAAAATTCACCTCCCACACAATCTCTCTGAGAAAACTATTACAGGATGTACGTCAGGAAAAGTTAAGAAGACAAGAGGAAATCCAGGAAAATTAGGACTCCAACTGAAGAGGGTGAAAAGAAGGCCTTGGGTCAGAACTATACAGTAAGGCTAAAGAAGAACCAGTCCAGGGTGGAGAGGAGAAGACTCTTTGGGAAAAGAATGAACTTGGTAAAAATTTTTTGCTGTGTTAAGATTTTGAATAAATTTTAAATTGCTTGGCATAATTGCGGGGAGGAGAGAGTAGCCTTATGTTTTCCCAAGTACACAGAAAACTATGCAAATAAAAAGGCAATTAACTCACACCTGAACTCATATAACATTGTGTCAACTGTACTTCAATAAAAAAAACAGAGTAGACTACCATGCTCAAGAGTGAACAGTCCTTACATAGTAATAATGTACGTATTTTTGGGTTTAACAAAAAATTATGATGTAGCCATATGGGGAAGCACGGGGGAGTAGGAGTAACACCTGGGCGGGGGCGGGGGAGAGCTAAAATCCTGTCTACCACAACCAGAAGGCAATCAAAAAATGTCCAAAACCAATAAACTGTTTTAAATAGCATTATAAGCAAGACATTGATGTGTAGAAATAATGGTAGTGAAAATGCTGATATAATTTGCTTAGGGGTTCCCCCGTTTGGGAGTTGGTCTTGGAGTACAGAAAGGTGGGATAGGGGACTGATATTTTTTATTAGAATTCAGTACTTTCTGACATTTCTAAAAGTGTGGTCACATATTACTTGAAAAAATAAATACTAATTTAACAAGATACACAATTAAACAAAAAAATTGCTAATATTTTACATATAGTTATGTCACAAGTATTTTCTCTCCTACTTTATTATGTATCTTAAAGGTGAAATCTTTTAAATGTAATGCATTTCAAATGTAGAAAACAACAAAAACACTGCAACAGAGAGCCATGCACCTAACTAGCCAGATTCAATATATTTTCTATTTAAGCTCTTTCTCTTAAGGAATTTACTTAAATACCCTAGCTCTCAAAGAAAAAGAAAACATTATTTATTAAGTCTCGGCTCTCAACCTCTGGAGAAGGAAGCCATGTCTTTTCTAAAGAAAAAAAATATATCTATAAATATATATGTATATTTATTTAAATATATATTAATAAATATATTTATTAAACCCAGCCTGCCCTACATAAAGGCAGGAAAATGAGAGCAAACTAAAATACATAAAGAAGGACCATTTCAAAAGATGTACTTATTTACAGATGATGGTCTAGCTAAGGAACAAATAATAGTTGCAAAGTAGAAAGATTTATTTTATGCCATTGGTTGTTCTCTAAATATAGACAAGATGAAAATGAAAATAAAAGGCACTCATAGGTTTCAGTTGGATAGAGTAATTACTGACCAACGCATTAATCAAATGGTGACAGAGTGAGCTACTGGGGAGGCTGCGGTGTGTGCCATTAAGAAAAAAAATCTATTAGATAAAATATAGCACACTAGGGAAAAAAGATGGAAGAGTTATAATAGAAAAATGACATAAAAAGAGAGTTTGAAATAGAAATGAGTAAAAATAGAAGTGAAAGGATTGGAAGAGAAAGATGATAATGGATTTTTAGCAGGTTTAAGTGATTTGGCTAGGAAAGGTGGCTGGGTCATCTCCAAAATTCTTTCAGCTCTCAGATGCTGAAACTGTGAGGTATAAAAGCTGGGGAAAGGCAAAGATGTCATCTTCATAACAAGTTGCTTCTGATCATAAAAAGTTTGGATTTATCTGGGTCCCCGAGTCCGTCTTCTCTCCTTCCTCACTGCCACCGGTTGAGAACTTTATCACCTGGAACCACTCCCCCATCACCAACTTCCTGGCCTCCCACCCCTGGCTGAACACAGACCCCAGCACTCCTTTCCCTCACAACCAGAGCAGTCTCCCCAAACCCTGGCTCTGTGTTGTATTGTCACTCTCCTGTCCTAGAGCCTCTCCCGGATCCCAGTGGCATTCTGATTGGAACTGGAATGCCATAGTGGTCCCAAGAGTAGAAAGAATAGTGCTTGAAAGTAGGGTCTTAGAGAGTTAATTTCTTACTTCATGGATTTTTTTCTAAGATGCACCCTGTACTTGGGCATTTGATGTAAAAGAGCAAAGGATTTTATAAATCACAGTATCTCCATGATGTAATTAAAACAGTACATTCTTGGGGCACCTGGCTGGCTCAGTCGGTGGAGCATGTGACTCTTAATCTCTGGGTTATGGATTTGAACCCCATGTTGGGTGTAGAGATTGCTTAAAAATAAAATCTTTAAAAATTAATTAATTAATTAAAACACTAAATACTTTTTTTTAAAGATTTTATTTATTCATTTGAGACACAGAGATAGAGAGAGAGAGAGAGAGCATGAGCAGGGAGAGAGGCAGAGGGAGAGGGAGAAGCAGGCTCCCCGCTGAGCCAGGAGCCCGATGTGGGGCTCGATCCCAGGACCCTGGGATCATGACCTGAGCCGAAGGCAGACGCTTAACCACCTGAGCCACCCAGGCGCCCCTAAAACACTAAATTCTTATTTACCTGTCAATTTATGTGAACTTGGCTGAATAGGAGCAGTACCTGTACCTAATTCATATCTCTAAGTCAAGAGCATCTGATCGACAAGTGTGCTAATATTGGATTATCACCCTGGAGAAGGAAAAGTTAACAACAATCACAGTTCCAGGAGAAATTTATTGGGACAGGCTGGCTAAGGTTATGTTCAAACTTACTGATGTAATATACTAAAGCCACACTTAGGACCTCATGGAGAGGCAACAGGGTATGGAGAGAGGCCTCAAAGTGGGTGGCTGAGAGGAGACTCCGAAGCCAGAGCGCCTGCGTCTAATTGCCAGCGCCACTGCATACTTTGTGATCTTGGGCAGACAGTTTAACTTTCTCTATCTCGGTTATGCCATCTGTTAAAAAGGGCCTAGTAACAGTGCCTATTTCATACAGCTGTTATAAGAACTAAGAGTTAATCCATGTAGGGGCACCTGGGTGGCTCAGTCGGTTAAGCATCTGCCTTCAGCTCAGGTCATGATCTCGGGGTCCTGGGATCGAGCCCCGCATCGGGCTCCCTGCTCATCGGGGAGTCTGCTTCTTCATCTCCCTCTGCTGCTCCCACCCCGCCTCCCTGCTCATGCTTTCTCTCTCTCAAATGAATGAATAAAATCTTAAAAAAAAAAAAAAAAAAGTTAATCCTTGTAAAGCACCTAGAACAGTGCCTAGCACCAAGTAGATGCTATTTAGGTGGTTGTTACATTCTAAGCTCCTCACTTAACTCCTTAAGTATCGGCCCCTTAAATAAAGTGTTAATTTTAAATTCCATCTTCTTAAAGCCATTTTTTATAACCCCAATGCATGATGGACCCTTAGGCCCTGGCATGTCTGAGTGAGCACTTATTGCTGGTACTATTTTGTATTTGAGCACAGACTATTCTTGAATAGCTTGGATTATTACCAATTTCATGTCTGTTTTCTTGTTTGTTTTTCTATTAAAAGCCTTCTCCATTCTTTCAAGCTCCAGGCTCCTTCGTAAGCCTTCTCCATTCTTTCAAGCAACATTTACGAAGGCCCTGTGGGCTAGGGATAGGCTCACGACGAGGGCAGATAGAAGCCTCGATCTTCACAGCATGTATTGCCGGGCAGGGAAGGAGGTGTTAAGGACCATGGAGGAAAAATACAGTGCAAGGCAGGAGCACAAAGCAGCAAGCCTAACCTAGACCCACAGGATGGGCCGGGTATATTTCATAGTGCCTAGCCTAGCACTGAAGACCAGCTTCAGTCAAGATAAAGCCTCCACGAACAATGAATCATGGAACACTTCATCTAGAACTAATGATGTAATGTATGGGGATTAACATAAGAATAAAAAAAAAAAAAAAGATAAAGCCTCTATTTATAAAAGATTTTTCATGACTCTAAGTAGGCGAAGAGAATTCATTACAGCTGCAGCCTAGTCCATTAATGTGGCCTGAATCCTTCTGGTTAATCTTTTTTGCCTATTCACTCACCTCCTGGACACTGAAAAACTATATATTCAAACCTTCCCAATCAAGTAATTACAGAGCTTCCGAATAACCAACCCCAGGAAAATCCCTGTAGGCCTAGAAATCAGAAAAATAATTTAGTATCTCATTTTCAATCTGACATTACTTCTAAAAAGAAAAAAAAAAAAGAAGCAACCTCTAGAAGAATAGCGCCTTTTTGCACTTCCTTTATGTACAAACTAATAAACCCAGAACTTCCATGGGCTTCTATCCTGAACATTGGTATGGAACTTGAAACATATTAAAATCCTTGCAGCATTCTCAACTTATTTTCCCACTTAGAATTCACAAGAACAACAAAGATATCACTACCTCTATTACATTCACTTTTGAGTAAACTAATTCCCCATATTCATGTAACGTTCTGGAGCCAGCACCAGATAAACATAGCAAGAAAAGGGACTAAAAGTGTTATTTATGCAACGCATCACCTAACTATAAAGTAGTCCAAAACCTATATATATGTCACCGTCTGAAGTCTTAACCACGCCATCGTTCTGTGTTATTTCTGAATTCTTGCACTTCTGTGCTCTAATTTCAAAAATCATACCACTTCTGAATGGCTAGAGCTAAAGTAATTAATTTGGCGGTGCAGGGAATAAGAAAGAGGAAGAGAAATAGCCCAATATCTGAATACATGCTTGTATTTAAAACTGACTTATTTTAAATTTCATATTTCATTCTTCAGTGATAAATGTTAATTAGTCTTAAGTTCAACAAATTGAGATCTAAAAAAGTATGAGAACAAAATGTTCTAACTACCAGATGCTCATTTAATATGGATTATGATATAGAAAACATTATATTTCTATAAGATAAATATGTTTTCCAGAGAGATGGATAAATTGTATGTGTATCTTTTCAGAGGTCATAATTCAAAGCACTGTTTACTTGAACAAAATGTGAGAAGGAAATGCTGACCAGAGCAAGAAAAGTACTCTTGCTTAGCTATATTATCACATTAAAATGTCAGTTCAGATCCTTTTGTTTGCTTTGAATAGGCCAGACTACAACACAGAGACAAGAAAAAGTCAACAAAGGCTCTGAACATCAACATGACCTTGGCTAAGATTTACATTTTATCAGGACAAATGATTCACACAAGTAAACTTAGCCACTTCTTCAGAGGCTGTGCTGGAGTAGAGACCACAGGGTTGAAAAACTGGTTCTTATGGCAGTCTTCATCCTGTGTCCTTGAAGAAAGCCCACTCTCCCTATTGCCAAGCACTCTGGTTATCTTTCTTGGTGAAAGAAACCTGTTTGGCATGCCACTTGTTCCATTTTGGGTTCCCTGAGGGTCAAACGTGAACCACAGTATTTTGCTCAAGACCTTTGTCCAGGTCCAACGGGTCACCGCCTAATAGAATGCAAATCCACACTCGCTGCCTAAATATTTTTTTAAGATTTATTTATTTATTTGAGTTGGGGGAGAGGCAAAGGGAGAGGAAGAGAATCTCAAGCAGACTCCCCACTGAGCAGGGAGCCTGACATGGGGCTCCATCCCACGACCCCTAGATCATGACCTGAGCTGAAACCAAGAGTCGGACGCTTAACTGACTGAGCCACCCAGCCTCCCCATTGCTTAAATATTTTGAACAGCTCCTTTTGCTCCTTCAGGGATATAAAAATATAACTACAAACCAAGTGCTTAGTTTCACCTCAGGCATACTGTGGTAGAAAGAGCTAAACCAGGAGGGAGACTCCCAGTCTCAAGGTAGTCCCACTACTAAACAACGCCATGACCTTTAGCAAGTCATGGGATTCAGTGGGGCCCCCGGCTTCTGATCCGCACGAGAGGGAAGGAGAACAAATGATTTCAAGCTTGCTTCCAGCTCCAAAAATGCCCATGATCCTACCTGTTGTAAGTCACTTCCATTTTTAGGTTAGCAGGGTATAACAGAAAAAACACAGATTCAGAATCAGATGGATGTGGATTGGAATCACCAAGGTTAGAACTCCCCTGACATTTAATTTCCTTACTATAAAGTAGAGATCATATTGCCTGGGTAATATTGCTGATATTACCTATCACCAGCTAGTTGTAAAGACTAAATGAGACCATAGATGTCAGCCGTTTAATGTGGTTTGTTTAGAGCCTCAATTTAAAAAAAAAAAAAAAGTTGCCCCTAATTATGTTTTCAATTTTGGACTTTAGAAATCAATATGAATTTGAGACTTTCAAAAAACCACTTGTGGCATGTACTGTTTCTTCAATTGTCACATTAATTCTTTCTCTTTACATCCACTTTCATCTTCAAATAGAAAATTTGCTCTTCTATTTCCTTTTTGTACATGTCTTCAAACCAGAGTGGTCTCCTTTATAATTGTGCTCCTTAAATTTACAGCTTTTTTTTTTTTAACGATAATTGCTTTCTTTGCTATGGATTCTTGTTTTACAGGTGGATGATTCTACACCTAAAAATATTGGTACTCTCAGCATCTCAGAAAAGAGATATTGCTGTGTTATAAATGTTCAGCTGGGAAACAAAGAAATGCAGAACGTTAGTCCTAAGGAGACATGAAAATCTTCCTGAGGAAAACTCACCTCTCCAAATCTTTCCACGTTTTGTATTTTAGATAAGTTTCCACCAATAGACATATCATCCAAGCTAGAAAGAATTTTATTAATACTTCCTTCACTGGATGGTCTATTTTTCAGCTTGGATCGGAAAATGTCTCCTTGGACCCATAACGATGCCTGTTTTCTGTAAAAAGGAGAGAAAACAAAATAATCTGTAAAATAAATTACTATCATCTCCTCGAAAATATAATATCTTATAGATAAAGAGATTAGCAGATAAACCTTTACAAGTCAGAAAGACTATGAAATCTGAGAATTGTTTTTAAAAGTCATTTTCTTAAAGTTTAAGTTATATGAATTAAATTAGATAAATTATATTAAAGTTCTATGTGAAACACAAATACCTATCTTCCAATATATGTTTATATAACTATACATGAGTTGCCTATTGCGGTTCTTAGATGCTTACAACAACAGCAACAAAAAAGACCGTGAGCCCATTTGTCTTTCACATATGAATTTGAAATCTGTAAGGTATTTCTCAAATAGCAATTTGATATGTCTATAAAAACAGCTGGAGTGAACTGGACTCAAAGAAGTAGGTGAAGAAACTTGAATCAAACAGAGAGAGTACCTAAAAGACTACCAAATCCATAATTGTGTGTGGCAGCATGAAAAAACAAAACTTTAGAAACCTACTCTTACCACCTAAAAGCAAGGTATATAGAGCCTCAATTAGATTATCCTTTAAGAACCAGAAAATGTGCTTCATCTATAAGTTTTCTTTTATTCAATAAGGCACAATTTTAACTGTTTTCAAGGTTACAGGAAAAGAACTTAAGATATGTAAACAAAATGACAGTCTGGGTTTAAAATTTTTATTGTTAGAGTCACCTTCCTGCATTTCTTTTAAGATAAATTACCCATCAGATAGTTTTCATTCTATTCTATGTCATACTGGACAGAATAGAATTAAGCTAAAATTGTGGCTCATCATAAGGAATATCAACATCCAGGGAAATAACAGCATTATCAAGGAAGTGCTACCAATAAGAACACAGATTTATTTTCTGAGGCAATAGAAAGACCAAGGGGTATTTTCTCTCAAAGATTCCAAATAAAATTCAGGCTAAAACACGAGGAGAAAAACAATGACAAAAAATCCTCCCTGAACTGTACTGTCTCATTAGACCCTCAAGAAAGGAATCCACCTTTCCTTTTTAAAAGAGTTTACTCTCAAATCAGAACTTTTGTTTATGATTAAATACTGTTGAAAGTCTTGAAGAAAAGATTAACTTTTACATTATACAGCAAAATTTTACATGTGCAATGCCTCCAACCAAGTGTATCTACCTGGGTATCACCCTATAGATACATACCTGTACACAAGATACAAAAATGCTTATTTCAGCGTTATTTGTAATAAAAAAACTACTGGAGATACCTAATGGACAACCAGCTTATTAACAGTAGATCCATTCCGTGAAATATTATACAGCCAGTAAAAAGCTTGGGATGGACCTCCATGTAGTAATAAAGAAGAGCAGCTATGAAATAAAGCGTTCGTGAATGAAAAATATAAGTGACAGAGTGGAAAGTATGATCCCATTTTTTGTATAAAAAGAAGTTGTAATTTAACTGGAAGTTCAGTTATCTAGAACATACAGCAACATATTGACCAGTTACTCCCAACAACAAAAGGAAACTTTCACTTTCTATTACATGTCTAGCTGTTTGACTTTTTTAAAACAACGTGCCTCATGTGCTTTTGTAAAAAAAAAAAAAATAGTGATAGATGATAGATAGATAGATAGATAGACAGATAGATCAAAGCAGAACAAAGCTAGCTTTAGTATGGAAAGGAACCTTTAAAGTTGCTTTCATAAAAGATAGCAGACAGCATATCACTGCATTGTTTTAACAACAGTATTTATAAATACCTTTAGAAAGAAGTCAATTTACTAAGTGCCCAAAGATTAACAGTTTGGGATGAGACTAGATGGTTGGGAGGCTTTCTTTTTTTTTAAATATAATATCCTACTCCACTTTCAAGTAAGAGGTGTTTTTTTCTTTTAATTTTTGCTCACTTTTCAGTATTTTCCAAATAAAACAAAAGGAAAAGGGAATACCTTTAGATCCTATTTCAAGACATATAGTATAGAGGCTCTAGATATAAAATATGTTGTCCACATATAAGACTAACTTAACAGTTCAAACATTGTTCTAAAATTGGAATTCATTTACATTATTTTAAGAAATTTCCAGCATGTTAAATGGATTAAATTTTAAAACAAAAACCAGTGAAATTTTAAAGATATGAATAAAGACTCCAGAAATCTTCACACACCAGTTCACTAGGGAGTGTGGCAGTATCTGCCTTCTATTATGGCAGAAGGTACTTTTTGGAAGCAAACCACTGAGGAATATTTTCTGAGCTTAAGATATATAGATCAATGGGGTTACCCTAATCACTGAGTCACTTTCAATTTTTCTATACCAACCAAAAAATATATTCATAAAGAAACTCTTAAATTTTGCTTCCTTTGTGAAAACCTTCATAAAACCATGGTATAGCCTCCCTGCTACCTTGCATTTTCAGAAATCCTTGCTTTAATTTTTTATTCCTCCAGATTTTTTCCACTTAATGCTACACCCAGTATAACTCTTTCTCTGACGGCTGACTCTTATATCCTTCCAAAATAGTAATAAACAAACAGCATAGTCCTTGACACAGTATGAACAATTCAAAAGATAACTGTTAAATTCATAAATGACTACCTTGAGCTTCTGGTCAAAAAATCAGTAATAAAGAACTACTATTTCACAGGGAGAGAAGACTCACCTCTGCCACAGATAGTAAGAAATTCAGATAAATGAAACATACGGAAAGGATAGGGATATACAGATAAAAGACAGAATTCCTGTCCCTCAAAAGTTCCCAGTTACATATAAGAAAAACGAACAACTAAAATCCAATGGCCCTATGACCTAGATCTGCCCTTAACTCAACCTGAAAGAATCACAGACAAGGTCCCTGAGAATTCAAAATTATCTAGAAAGATTAGCAGAACTTAGCCAGCAAAGAGTTTTCCCAAAGCAAAGAAACAACATGGGCTTGAAGGAATAGTGCTATCAAAGAACCCAGCACGTTTGGGAAACTGGGCTGTTTGATTTGGCTGCAGCAGAGGTTATGACAGAAGCAGCAACCAGCCCATGATGGACCCTACACGACATGCTAAGGAATTTAGATCTGAGAATTGAAAAAAAAATTCCGATTCCAAAATGTTATAAAATGAAAACTCTGATAGGGCTGCCAACCTAAAGATGGAAATTACGAAGTGACACCTTTCGCTTGCTTGGTTTCAAAGACTCCATCTGTCCCATCACTGGAAAGACTTGATTTGAACCTGAATATTAAAGATGAATAAGGTGTCAAAGCTGATTTGTGTGTTGCTAAGTGATGCTCTACAAAAGTGCTTCTTAAGAAAAAGCAGCACTTCACGCAAATCCCTTTTTTATTGACAACAGGAACCTCACTGGCTTTTATTGTGGGGTCTATTACTCCTTAAAAGCCTCATCTCAGACAGAAGAAGTAAAACGTGTATTTTTAAGTATTTAGCATTTAAAAATCAAATCCTATGAAGCTCACACACTAGCTCAGAGTAAATCCTCCAGTAACGTTGTGGATTTTCTAAGACAGCATGAGATTACTAACCCTCTGCCAAAAGAATATGTGCTTTGAAATAACAGAAAGAGATCCGTCTTGATTTAAACAGAGCCTTTTGAGAGACGTAGCCAGTGTTGGGGGTCAAGTGTTTTTGGCCGAGTCCTGGCCCTGGGTTAATCAGGCCTGAGACATAAGAAAATAATTCACTTGGCTTCATTATAAGCCAAGCCACAGCCTTCACAAGTCTTTTTAAAAATCTGTTTTGAGGGGCGCCTCGGTGGCTCAGGCCAGGCTCAGGCGGTTAAGCATCTTACTCTTGATTTCGGATCAGGTCATGATCTTGGGGTCATGAGACGGAACCCCATGACAGGCTCCTCGCTCAGCTGGGGGGAGGGGAGGGAATCAGCTTGAGAGTCTCTCTCCCTCTCTCTGTGCCCCTCCCCCCACTCAGTTGCATTGTTACAGGTGTTTCTGGTTTTGAATTCAGAACACAGTGATAGTCACGTGCAGCTTCTTCTGTTTGTAGCTGACCTCTTCTTCCTCACATCCTTGAGTCCAAACTAAGCCTATCTCCCACCACCTTAACTCTCTGTCTTCATCTTCATCACTTCTTCCATCCTGGACGCTTATTTGTCCAGTACCCTGACCTCAGTGTCCATCCAAAGCCACCATTTGGTGATTCTATATAGAAACCCAGCCCGTGTTCTAGCTCGAGGTAGGCCTACTTTAGCTGTGACTGGGGCACCAGCCTGCCTTGCATGCCTCCTACCCTACTGCCCCATGCTATTATGGAAACAGAGATAGTTCCCAGTCAAAAGAACGGGACTAATAAAATGATCTAACTTGATATCAAAGGAAGATAGACCAGAAAGCAGTACCCAAGGTTCAGGAGGTGGAAAGGAGACAGGTATTCAAGGAGTTCTACTCATACTTTGATACAAATGGAAGATTTACTAGGAAGATGTTTAGACAGAGAACTTGAGGGTAGAAGGGAAGGTTCTTCATTCTGAAACACACAAGAAAATGTAGCTGGAAGAGAAAAAATGACTTAGAGAATTCTCAAAGCTAGTTCTAGTTTAGGTATAGACCTAAACAGTCAGAAGCTGACTCAGTGGTATCATGCCAAAATATAAACTTTACAACTAAACCTGATGCATTATTGCTTACAAGACATTCTTTTTCCACCTCTAACCCTTTTCACACTAGAAATGAAACAAAAACCGTTCAATCTCCTATCTTTAGTAACTGTCATGAGTATTTCAGGGCAAATTTCTGATGTCACCATTGCCCACAATTCTTATATATACCATATCCTTAATACTGGAACCCACATTAGGATTTCATTTTTGCTCAGCCCATAGATTCGATACAACTGACAGTCAATAAATGAATAAAATGATGGAACAGTAAATACTGAAGAGCAATTCAGAGGTTTATAAATGAGTGTTACTGCAAAAAATGTGACTGTCAAATAGTGCAAGCTCGAACCTATGCAATGCACTTGTTATTCTTATAAG